TTTTAACAAAAGCCAAGGATAAAGAGTCAATTAAAGGATAAAACTCAAGTGTTTACAAAATTTGTACAGGCACCACAAAAGAATCTAGAGAAATTCTTAGTATTCCTTCGAACCAATCGCGACAAAATTGATAGCAGAAGTTTATTATGATTTACAGATGCTACAGTTGAAGTGCAGGCGAAAAAAAGTAGCCTACTTGCTCTCAGAATTTTGTAGAGGTAAGCCCATAGTGTTTACAGATGCTCTAAGCGCTACCCATAAAAAACAGTCCCCAGTAACTTCAAAAATATTACATAGGTACCCCTATAAATTCCGAGAAATCCCGGATATCCCCCTGAAACATTCTTAATCCATCGCAGAATTAAATTAGCTTGTCAAGAATTCGTCAGTAACTTACAATAAACCAACCAGGAAACACATTATTAGTATTTCAACTTCGAAACCTTAAAATTCTTCATTCATAGTATCAGCCTTATTATCGAGTTTACCAGGGCAGCCCGAATTATCGTTTTTGTGGCACCCCGTGAATGTGGTACTCGGCTGAAGCGAAAAAAGTTTTTAAGATTTCTAAGAAAACCTACATTGTTAGTCTGGTACTTAGATGTTACAGGAAAGCAATGGTACAATCCAAGCTAAGGTGAGGTCAAAAAAATTCAATTTAGCATGGAATTGTGATAAATAGTCCTCTGAACAGAGGGCTACAATAGGAGATTAGCGTAGTCTGTAAATCAGTAAAGTGTATCGTTCCTCCAGTGAATCTGGCACAGCGGCCTTTGGATCGCGATTCCAGATATAATGCCCGAATATGATGGTCAGGGCAAGTTGGTGGTACATCGACTGAATTGGCAGCATTACATTACCCTCACTCGTATCCCCTCGACCTAAAAAACTTCGAGTCATAATTGGATTTCTCGCCTACTCATTCACACTTCTACTTTCGCGGTAAAATAGAGAGTGCTATCTACAAATACTGTAATTTATGGAAATATAAAAGGCGATTTTTGTGTTATTTCCTCCGTGGGACAAAATTTTGAAGTTTTACATAAATAGTTTTATATTTTTGAATTTCCGTTGGATGTTTCGTACCATCTGGTCTAACACACCCATTTTTATACTACCATCATAGTAAGTATGCGATCCAGCTTTTTTTTAAAGTTATTGATGGCCGCTAACGACAGCCTTTTCAGATCGGAAATCTCTATTTTCCTGTTCTATACTATCCTGTCAAAAGTAATCCGCGACATGATAATTGATGTAAGGGTCTTTTGAACGGTAATTGGGATGCAAAAAATATCAAACCTAAACTTCGATCAGCCAATTGTTGCTGCATACTGTGAAATGACGAAGCAATCGCAATGACCGATGTGTAAAAATATGTAAAATTGAAGCAAGAATTGAAAAAGGCATATGCAAAGCATACAACTGATGCCGTTCCGACCGTACTCATCAAAAGCATTGGACGATTACTGGCCAATTTCGGGCCCACAAACTAGAAAATCCGATTTTTCAATGCTTAGAATTTCCCAACAATCACCAGGCAGCACATCTTTCCTAGTCCCATGTTTTTATTATTTTA